TAGATAATAAAGTTACTAAAAAAAAAACGGATACTTTGTCACGATACATGCCAAAATGAAAAAATAGATAGATTATTAAGGGACGGATACATTTACCTTTTGCGTCATTGTACTTAACATTAAAAATATCCTTATATTTATAAAAAGATTTGTACAAATGTCCTTCTATTAGTATTACAAGGCACTAATTAAAGTATTTTGCAAATTTTCTTAATTTGTACTATGTTTTAATATAATAATTAATATTCAAATATCAACACGCAAAATATAAATAGGATCCTTAGAGCCGGACGAAAGTAGTATTACACATTATGATGTACTCCCTTTATCCCAACTAATTTGTCTAATTTAGCTGAAACACGTAGTTTTAGGTATTATGTAATTAATAAGTAATTAAGAATTATATTAGTATAAATAATTATATATTAAAATTAAGATGATTAAATAGTTTAATTAAAATTTAAAATTTTAAAATATGGTTAAAATATATAATTATATTTTTTTAAAAAAATAAAAAATTATATGGTACGAAAAAAGTACTATATATATATATGCATACGTTGTCACCTTGCTATGTTGTACTGATTTAACTCAATTAACAGACTAATTGCCGGAGTTTTAGAATACTACATAAAATTTAAATTTGTTCCATATGGACTTGTCCAACCGGTTCAAACCGTCGATTACGGTTTGTCGGAATTTCAAACCGAAATCGAATTGTCCGAATAACGATTTCGATTACGGTTTGACGGTTTCGATTACGATTTATAAACCGACGGTTTCGGTTTAAAAACCTTCTGTTACGGTTTGAACCGCCGGTTTATATTACTTATTTTTTCAATTTTTTCTTAATATTAATTTTTACAATTAATTTTGATTCCGATTTTAATTTACTAAATCTTTGTATTTTTGTAAAAAAATATATAAATAATACTTCGTTTTTATAAAATAATTATTTGTCAATTTATTAATTAAGAATTAAGAATACAATTATAATTTATACAATTGTTTAATAAGTTAATTTTTAAATTAAATCACACTATTGAAATTATTTTTAAAAAAAAAACTGCCAAAACCGCCGATTTCGGTTCGAACCGCCGGTTTGTTCCATCAAATATTGACCGTCGGATCTTCGTAAATTAATCTTGATTGTTCATTTTTAAAAAATAAACCCACCCAAACCGCCGGTTTGGACAGGCATAACTTTACCAAAAAAAAAAAAAAAAAGAAAAATATATATAATATATTGTCCAAACCGTCGGTTCAAACTGCCGATTTATAGTTTGAATCGGTGGTTTACGGTTTGGCTCAAACACAAACTGAAATCGAACCGTTAGATTGACAATTTTGATTCGATTTGAATCCGATTTTGATTTGAATCGAAACAGCCGATTTGTAAACTGAAAAACCAACGGTTCGAACCAACAGTTCCGAACAGAATGAGCAAGTCTAATTCCATAGTTGTGTTTTCCCTCTTTGAATTTATTTATTTATTGTAATTTAATATTTTTTCACTTCTAAAATACCAAATCATATATTTATTTTATTTAATATATAAAAAATATATCATTAAAATATCATATTAAATAATTATTAAATTAAATTTGTTTACTATTCCGTAATACCAACAAAAAGCCAAAACACAATCTAACAAACCAAAGATTTTATTCTTATGGTAACACAATCAGGTTAACTATGCAATAAATCTGTAGGTTGCATTTGTTTATAATTTTTATTACTCAATAATTATTTTAATATTCTCCCTCCGTCCCGTTGGAAGGGTGGCGTTTATTTTTTACACATAGATTTTTGAATATTAGTATTATATTAAAATGTAGTAAAAAGACAAAAATACCCCTATTAGTATAGTGTAATATAAAAGTAATGACATTTGTGTAATATATTGTAAGTTGAAAGAATATTTATTATGTGAAGTAGGTAATACAATTACTAAATTAGGAAATAGTAACCTTCTTTTGGGACGGACGAAAATGAAAAATGATAACCTTTCAATGGGACGGATGGAGTATACTTTTTAATAAAAATATACTCATTTCGTTCAAATTTAAAGTATTATTTTTATCACTTTGGTTGGTCATATTTCAAAGTATTTTTTTTATTTTAGAAAAATTCAATTATATACTAATACCAAATATCATTAATTTTTATTTAAATTACAAATATACAATTAGACATACAATTATTTTATACATAAAATCAAATGATAAAAATATTAAAATCTTTTGCATATTTTCACTAACTAATAAAATACTACTCCATCCGTCCCAGATACCATGTCCACGTTGCCGTTTTTGTCCGTCTTACGTGTCACTTTTCTTTTTTTGAAAATAATTACACACTTTAATCTCATTTTAAATTTTTTAATTTATTTTTTTTTAATTTTAATTAAACTAATTAGTTATCTTAATCTTAATTTATAATTATTTATATTATAAGATAATTATTTTTTTAATTTTATTTTTTTAAATTTTAATTAAAGTTATCTTAATCTTAATTTATAATTATTTATATTATAAGATAATTATTTTTTTAATTTTATTTTTTTAAATTTTAATTAAAGTTATCTTAATCTTAATTTATAATTATTTATATTATAAAATAATTATTTTCACTAATACATTCTATTCTTAATTATCTACTAATTACATCTCTACTAATAAATTATATTCTTAATTATCTACTAATTATATCCCTCCTAAAAATTCTTAACTATCTACTAATTACACCCCTCCTAAAATACGGCACGGTATCTGGGACTGAGGGAGTATTATTTTTAATTTATTATAAAATCATCAAAAATCCCTTTGATAAACGATGAAGGAAGTGTTACGTTTTTTTATTTTATTTTATTTTTATTTTTATTATTATTCTAAAATATCACGTCTAATCATTATAGGAAACCACTTACGTTAACCAAAACCAAATAAAACCGCTTATTTGATATAATTGGATACGATGTTTTACAAGATAAAATAATTTTTATTTTTATAAAAAATCATAGAATTAAATATAAATAATATATTTTTTTTAAAAAAATATAGAAATTGAACCATAGATATTATCTATATGGTGTAAAAGTTGGACTTTTATTTTGTGGGTTTCATTAAATGAATCTAACGAAAAATGTGCAACCAACGTGTAAATTCAAACTAGGTGAGGTTTGGTTTGGTAGTGAACTTATAATAACTCAAATTAATTAATTCATTAAAATTTATTAGTGTGCGTTGTAGGAATCGAGACTTTTTTCTTTTTCAGTGTTTTCGTATAATAACAAATAATAATAAATATTGGGATAGGCCACACTTTAGGGCTGCAAAATTGCCTTTATTAAATACTATATATATATTTTTTTATTAGGCCTTCCATATCTATATTTCAACATTTACACAACATATATATATATATATATTAAATAGACCTAATTGTATAGTTTATGTTTGTTTGGTTTGTTATTCTAGTATTTTAAATCAAAATTTATAATATTCCTAACCAAATATATTACTCGCTCTGTCCCTAACTCAATGTATTTTTTTTTAAAAAAAAAATTTAGTAAAAGTAATCATACTTCAATACCAAAATACTCTTTAATTTTTACTTAAATTACAAATATATTATTACACATACAATTACTTTTTTACATCATACACACTTCCACTAATCAGTAAAATACTATTATTAGCACAAATATCATGTTAAAATACTATTTAAATAAAAACTCAATTCTAAAATTTATTTAAAATCAACTTCAAATACAACTAAACCAACCCATTTGAGGTTTTTTTTTTTAATATGAATATAAAAATATAAAATTAATATTTTTAATTAATATTAGATTTTTCTGAAAACATAAAAAATATATATTATATTACATATATTGAAAATATTTTACTCCTTCGGGCTTTAAGGATCACATTTACTTTATGTCGTGTAAATTTTTTTATATTAATTATTATATCAAAACGTAGTAAACATTAAGAAAAAAAAGACATACTTCCATTAATGTCTTATAATGACTATACAATATAAAAATATTTTTAATACTAAATACAATAACATAAAATATAAATGTATATCCCAGAGACAGTATTTTTTATCCATATTATTTATATTGAAAATCTTGTCTCTACAAAAACTGTTGTGTGAACAAAACCATACTTACACGCCTCATATCTATTGTCTTATTTTATTTGTTTCAGATCAATTATCTTATTAGCATAAATAATAAACATGATTCTCACATCATTATAAAACTAACTTTTTTTATATTTTTACTCAAATGTCACTATCTCTTACACAAACTAAATACATTCGCTAACAAGCAAAGACATAATAGACAATTTATCATATATATATATATATATATATTTAACATCAGCTTCATATTACTATCTTAAATCAAAGTTCGAATCAAAACTCAAAAGTATATATTTCTTATAAAAATTTTTTACAATATAACAAGAAAGTAAAAAGAAAATAAAATTACTAAAAGAACATATCATAAATATTCAGAGTTAAGCGTAAATCTATGCGAATAAGTAAAAAAAAAAAAAAAAAAACCATTGTGGAAATTAAACTTACTTTTGTCAATTTAAATTATATGTTCAAATTTCAATTTAGTTCAACATGGTTACCTAAAGACCACACAATAAATATAATTTTAGATATTATATATTAATTAACCAACTAATGAACTTAGAACCCATTAATAAATACTTATATTTAATGGATTGAAATTTATATCACATTCAACTTTACCAAAAGAAATCATAAACACTTTAGACCTCTAAAAGTACTAACTACTATCAAATTTTAGTTCAAAATATTACATTTAAGAATTCAAATAAAAGTAACAAAATCCCAAGTAAAAGCACCCTAAATAATTTAGGGATGCACCTAATATTCTCTATTCCTACAGTTCGAAATCGATAGATCTATCGCGAAAACAGTCCTATCATCATCGAGATATGGAAAATCGAGTCGCGATAAGTTTAAGCCATCGATGTTAAGTAATATATTGTCAAAGAAAGAATTATTTGATGAACTTTTTTTGTAATCTAAAGTGGTAAGCATATACTTACAGACGAAACAAGACTCGCAGCATTTTTTATGCCAGGGTTGATTTATGGTTGAGATTAAGTACAAAACGGGCGCATCCTATTTCGAAGATTCAGGATTTCCATCAGCATTGCATGGCTGACAACTAAATGCTTTCGCAGAATCGAGCTGAGCTGCATAAGTCAAGCGTGTGAGGATTATGGAGCATTAGGAATACAAATAGTTAATCTCAGCCCAACCATGGTTAATAGTTAACTCTGGTAAATCATTTCAATGTTTACCTTAATCTGCCCTTGCCGGTGTTTGAAGGTTTTGCTCGTCAATTAATGTTTCAACTCGCTGCAGAAGTTTGCTCGTTAGTATTGTATATAACAGAGGATAATTGCGAATTAGATTCGTACTTTCACCGTAGAGCCAACTTCTTCGAGTTTCTGCAAAATTGCAAACTGATCGAGGGGAAAAGACGGGTCGTGCCTCGCTGATCTTGAAGGGGACATCTGCTTAAAAAATGTATGGGTTAACAAGTATACTTCAAATATTAGTTACAGTTTGGCATACCGATGCGACTGAAGAATGACCCATCCTTGGAACATCTTCACCAGCGGGAGGATGCCCAGAAAACAGCTCGGAGCTCATGTTGGATAGGCGTATTAGAACAGCCTGGAGAAGGTAAGAAAGGTTGTTGAAGAACTATTCGATGACAACTTAAAAGTCAAGTGGTAAGCTCTTGAGCATGACTATGTGAACACAAAAAAAGGGCTATAAAATAAACAAATTGTTTGCGAGATTAGTTCGATTCGGCTCATAGCGAGCTCATCATGAATTTAGATTTTAGCTTGTAATGCTCATAACGAGCTCATTATGAGTTGAGATTTTAGCTTGTAATGCTCACGATCAAGCTCGGACTAGTTCAGCTCATTAGAAGCTCTAAGTTACAATACCTTTCTAAAAGCGTGAGGATTAGCAACTCCTTGGATTTGGACATCATCACTCGGTGGCCTTCTGACTCCAACATTTTCTATTCTAACGGAGTAGACACCAAATACAGATTCCAGATACCCTGAAAAACTTGTCAATTGCTCACGACTAAGATTATACATAATTAACAATTTTGCAACCAGTTTTGGAAAGATAATTCATAAAATGCAGCAAGAAAATGCTACAAGAACCAAAAGAAGGGCCCTTTCTCATTGGTTGAGATAAATGAAAAGGAAAGATCAATCCAGATCCAGTGCTGAACTATAATAATTGACACTTTTTTTAGCGATTCTACAGAATTTTTAACTTTGAAACATATTTACATTCAACTGAAGCGTTCAATAGATCAACACATTTACATTATGGTTTAATATTTTTACACTATAATCCAACAGTTATCAATGTTATGATATTCGAGAAGGTTAATCTTTGGATACCGTCAACAATAAAATTCTAAATTAGTTATGGACGTCATCCAAATCCCATGAACTAATATGTACTATTCATTAAAGTACCTAGTTAAATCATGATTGACGTCTTCCACTGAATTGGGCTAATGCATCGTCATAGATTACATGAAGCAAGGTGTACCTAAATCCCAAAAATACTAGTAGTGTTTCAAGAAAAAAATCAATTGCACTGGGGCAATAGAATATCAGCAAGATATTACAGTTTGAATTCAAACTAAAATCAGGCAGCTCAAGAGTTTAGTCGAATAGTAATGTTCGTGACTCCTCTTGTAAATTATAAACAATAATAGCAGCACAACTTGATATGTAGGAAGAGAAAACTATAACTAATAGCTGTGAAGTTTTACCCTGTTCGATTACCACATCAGCTACTGAGGGCAGCAAAACATGCTTCTCTTTCTTGAGAACACCACAACAAGGAAGTAGCACTGGCCTTCTCACCTGAACCAATAAAAAACTCTTGACTAATCAAGTAGCCTAATGTAAACCATCCAAACTAAAATGATTAGGACACTTCCCCTCTCTTCAATTCATATTCAGCTCAATCATCCACAGGGAAACCAGTGTGATACCATATGGACTGTTTATCAAATAGCTACCTAAATAGTTCTATTTCCTAACTTTCAATTTGATTCATAGCAATGAATTTCCCCCACTCGGTTCAATAGGATTCATAGCAATGAATGAATGTGCCATAATCAGTTCAATATGATTCATTGCGATGAATGAAATTGCCCTAATCCGTTCAATTGGGTTCATAGCAATGAATGAATGTGCCCTAATCAGTTCAATTTGATTCTTTTCGATGAATGAATTTGCCCTAATCAGTTCAATTTGATTCATTCCGATGAATGAATTTGCCCTAATCAGTTCAATTTGATTCATTGCGATTAATAAATTTTGCCCTAATCAGTTTTCGCCTAATCAAAATTCAAGCAAAAGCATCAACCAAACTTCATCCACATTACAAACCTCATAAAATCCAAGCTATAGAAAAAAATCATCGATACATTGTCGAGAATCAGGAAGCAACAAACCAAGCAAATACGAGATATCGAATTACCTTGTAAACAACAGAATTGGGAGTGACGTAAAGCTTCCTGGATCGAAAATCTCTGCGAAATATACACCTCCGAAACGGCAGATAAATGAGCATCAACAAGCCAATTCCCCACGCCAAAATCAAAACCAGAGAGTACAAAACCCAGCGAGCAGTCTGGTATTTCACGAATCTCTCCTCTGCTTCGTCAAACGATGCCCTGAACAGTACCGCTTCCTCATCCTCACCATCTTCAGCGCAATTCTCGCCCCGCAACAATCCCCTTTCCAGGTGCTCTATATCCGCCGCCGGCTCCATGAATCCGAAACCACTCCCGTCGGTGATCGGAAGCGGAAGATGGATCTTGATAGGCACAGAATTCAGAGGAAGTCATGGGCCATGAAATTGGGTTAACCATTCACATGGGCCTTTTAGTTTATTGGGCCGAAAGTACTTTTTGAATTCATATGTAATCAGTGTTATGCACAAATATATATATATATATTTTTTATAATAATTATCTAAAATTTCTATTTAACATAAAAGAAAATGTTAATTAAAAATATAATAATATTCATAAAAAAAAGGAAAAATGTATAAAAAATACTCCGTCGGTCCCGATCTAAAGTACAACTTTTACTATTTTCGTCATTCTCATTTCAAAATATTTTTTTTTATTTTAGAAAAAATAAATAAAAGATAATAGAAAAATATCTTTAATTTTTACTTAAATTACGAATATATCATTACATGTATAATTACTTTATAATCATAAAGTTAAAGAGCAAAAATGTCAAAAACTCTTAAAAGACTTTCACTAACAAATATTATATTATTATCTTTTAATCTATTACAAAACTCTAAAAAGCCTAGTTGAATTGGTACAGAGGGGGTTATTTATGTATTTTATTATAATTTTAAATCAAAATCAACACTATTAACAAAAATATATTATATTTTTTTTTAAAAAAATATCTTATTAAAATATTATAACAAAAACTCCAAATCATCTAATCACATTTTAAATGATAAAAATGTTCAAATCACAACCAAACAACTAAATACCATTTTGAATCAATCTATTTATATATATATATATATATATTTAAATAATTGTAATTTTTTATAAATATCTTTTTTAAAAAAACTCTTACCAATTATCTGTTATTACAATAATCTTATCAGTATAATTTAATTACTCCCTATATTTCAATAATCTAAAGGGTTTGCTATTTTATTTTTTTTTCAAGAAAGTCGAAATATCGATTTGTACTATTTGGATTTTGCATTTTTTAAAAAATATATATTTCATCTGTCATATTTAACTGATATAAAATATTTGACATATAAAAATATAATTATTTTAAATTTATAAATATGAATTTATAAGTTATTAGAAGAAAATATATTCAAATAATTAATAAATATTGTAATAAAGAAATATATTGATATATGTAAAATGATTAATTAATTTTAAGGTTAAATAAGAAAAATTAAAATAAAAAAGTTAATATGAAACGGTGGGATATACAATTTTTTTAAAATAAACTTTTTGGACTCAAGAAACTAATTGAAAAACTAATTTATCAAAGACTCAAATTATCTGGTTTAAAAACTCTTTGATAAGCTAAAAACTTTTGAAAAAACTGTTTATCAAACATCCTCGTAAAATATTAATATTTTAAAATAAAAATAGATAGATTTACTTCTTCAGCATAATAAACTATTATTTTTCTATTTTAGTTTGTTTTATAAGAAAATATTTATTTTTACTTTTTATTTTTAAATAATTGTATTTTCTAATTAATATTATAAATATCTCTATCATACAAATCTCATTATCCTATTATATTTCAATATAATACTAATATTTTTAAAAAGTCCGTCAAAAAAATAAACGGATACATAGTTATGGGATAGAGGATGTATATCAATTCTCAAGCCAATAGAAATGCGGTTGCACGAACCTAGCGAGCTATGCACATGCAGGAGATCACGCCTTCTTCGGGTTATAAATATATATATTTTTTTTTAAAAAAAAAAAATAGTACACTGAGAGTGAGATCACGCCTTCGTTCTTCGTCTTCTTCCTTCCTTCCAGGTTTCTTTCTTTTGGGATTTCTTACTGCATTCCTTCGGGAGAGAAGAGATAATGGCTCGAGGAGGAGATCAGCCGTCTACTCGGTCATATTCAGAGGTTTCCTTCCCTAAGTTCCCTTGCGTTTGATTTTTCCCAATTTTCGTAAAATGTTACGTTACGTGAGTTGAGTGTATAATGTATGGATAATCAGCACTTGTGACATGTAATTAATTGATTAATTAATCGAGAGTAATAGTTCCTGGAGAGATTGGTTCTTCGAATCCATCTGATTCGGTTAGAGATGATTTGAGTATTTTTCGTTGTCGACAATGGCAGCGGTTGCTTGCATGAAGAATCTCGCTGTTTTGTGTTTTTAGGTTAGACAGCTTTGTTGCTTATTGGTGATTATGATTGTGTTCGTCTCTCTTGAATTGTATCTTTACTAGTTCTTGATCAATCTAGTTTTTATATGTCAATTTATTGGTTTAAAATACGAAGAATTATTCGAGAGAGGAGAATGGATGAAAGAACTAAATGCATAAGCGCGAATCTTCATCATTTAAAACATGTTTAAGAACTTTCTTGAAGTTAATGTGGATTTGGTGATGCTAACAATGGAACTAACAAATTCTCTCAAAGTTAGGATTGTTCTCGGAAAATAAATCGACTAGTGTTTATTCTTTTTGTGAGTTGCAGAGTCGGAACCATTGATCTATGAAGAGTTCTTTATCCATTTGGTTGCTTCTTTCCACTGTTTATGAAGAACAAATTTTGTATCTAACTCTGGTTTCTTCTTAATTATACAGTTGGCAACAGTAAATTTTCTCCATGGACCTGATCCAAGTGCACATTGCCGTGTGTAAGTTCCTTAATTAATCTGCTTCCCTTCCTTTGATTTCTTTGAAAATGATACCTTGTTTTATTCGAAGAAATGGCGATCTCGGATGTCTCCACATTATGCTATAGCAGTGTTCTTGATAAAATCCCTGATTAATCTTTATATAACAGAAAACTGACTGCAACTCACATTGTGGGATGATCTTGATATTCATCGTTATAGGCAGGTAGAGTGAGAGATCACACACTGCAGTTATTTATAGTTTTGATAAAAACATCGATGTTTTTTGTAACACAAGCAGTGAATGACATATATTAATTGGCTAATATTTGCTAGTTCATTATAACCTATGATGTATAAAGTGAGAATTTAGAGTTGGAAGAGCATATTGTTCGACTTTCCTCTATTGCTCGATCAGTCTCTAACTTAGTTCACTAAGAAACATTGTTCATTGTTCGAATTTTCTTAATTGTAATATGGATATGTATCTACTGCATTGCAGCTTTGTTGGCAATCTCCATCCATTGGTCACTGAATACTATCTTCAAGATCTTTTCAGTATCGCTGGCCCTGTTTATAGATGCGATGTTATTCACGATAATGAGGTCTGTAACCAAAAATTTACTCTGAATATAATTTTCGATCAGCTCTGGTATGAATAGTTCGCTACTCTGCAGTTACACTATGGTTTTGTGGTCTTCACTAATCGTCAATCATCTATCATTGCTGTTGGACTACTGAATGGATATCGTCTGTGAGTACAACTTGTCGATGCAGAGCATTATCAGTGTGCTTATTTCTTTTCGTTCCGGCTAATAGGCTATTTTCAGATTCCGAATGCCCTTACTAGTTGGCTGGCCACATCCTAGAGATTGGCGCGAAGACAAAACAAGTATATGTTCGATTTTGATCTATACATCTATATAGTTCCTGGACTTACTCTTCCATGATCCCTAATCGCAGTCGCCTACTTCTATGTTTACGTTCGCGGTCTTCAGCCATGGACGACTGATGAAGTGCTGTATGCATACTTCTCAGTTTTCGACAGTTGTGTGTAAGCCCCGCCCTTGATTTATGAATTATTGAAATAAGAACTTCCAAGAAGTGTTTTTTCTTTATTGCAGCGAGGCAAAGGTCATGCTCGATGAAAAATCTCAGTCGATGGGCTATGGCTTCGTTTCTTACCGTGGCTATCAGGTTTGTAACTTGTAAGTGTTCATTTCAACATTTTCTTTGAACTCCCGTTGTTAAATTCATTGCTCATTGTTTGTCGCTATCTTGCTCGTGCTCGTCAGCATTCTTACAGGGCGGCAACTGAGCTCGACGGTGAGAATTTTTGCATATTTTTCGACTACAAGTAATCGAGAGTTTATCGAAGACTCAAATATACGCACACATATATATATGTATATATATATATATATAACAGGTAAATTGCTCGAGGGCAGCCTGATTCGATGTTCTATGCACGGATCGAGCAAAGAATTAGATCTTCCCCCTCGACTTTACAAGACGAGGCGTTTCGCTGGACCATCAACAATTAGACTTCCAGGTTCTTCCTTTCATTGTTGAGATATTTTAAATATTCAGTTTTAGATTTTGATTTGAGTCTATCGAGTCTATTTTATGATGCTTATATATAAACCATTTATTTTGATGATTTATATAATCCAGTTTTCATAAAATATGTTCACACTAAATAAAAATTTGTTACAATTCCGGGCGATTTCATGCCTTCTTGCAGAATTCCCATTCCATTTCGACAACGAGGCGCGAGTCGACCCACAGTACAGCAACATATACGTCTTCGATCTTCCTCCCGGCGTAAGTAACAGCGCCTATTTTGAAAAACTCGAACCCATTAACAACATATTCTCACATATATATATATAGATCTCGGAGAAAATTATGCGCAACTTCTTCGAAGAACTCAAAGCGGGGAAAATTGAGCATTTGCGAATGGTCCCGGGGAAGAGCCACGGCTTCGTGACGTACAGCAGCCAATACGAAGCAGCCGTCGCTATTCTTAAGGCAGACGGCGCATTTCTTAACGGTAAATACATCAAGGTAATGTGCATTACTACAATCGATAAAAATCACATTCAAGGTAATGTACGTATTTGCATATATATATATATATGTAAAGCTATTTTTAACGCGCAGTGTACGTGGGGCGAGAGGCCTACGCCGATTAACGATCTGCTTGTCCCGGTGCCTCCGGAGCTAACTCCGATGGTAGCCTACACAAGGGTGCGATCTCATCGCGTTTTGAAGGGTATCCTTCGGGACGGGCATAGATAGCAGCTCAATGGTCGGGAGGAATTCACGGCGCGACGGCGTCGTCGACACCGGGTAATGTAGTAATAATTACATTGTTGTACATATTATAGATGTTTTAGTTTAAGGTTGTTTTGTGTTCCTTGTACGTACTTTCATTTGCCATGGATAAGTCCTTTGTATAGGTTTCTTGAGTACCATGAACCTGAAATATGAACACAGTTGATGAAGTTACCTAATAAGAATATGTTATTCTTAAGGGGCGGTAAAAATAAGCACAGTCCAAAAAGTTCGGTCCAAGTACGGTGCGAAAAAATCGTGCTTCAGCTTTCAAAAATAGGCTCGAAAATTTTTGGACCGTGTCGGATCAGGTACACTAATGAACCGGGTTGTGCCCGATTTCAAACCAGGTGGCCTTTTCAAGTCAGAATTTGCAATCGGGCCATCTGGTCCAGCACGGTTTGGAATCAGATCGGGCCGGTCCAGCTCGGAAAAACGGTCCGCCCCGAATTCACCCTAGAATCTATTCATTTTTTATTTGGATTGTTTCTTACCAAGGTATTCATTGTTAATTTTTTTTAACTATTGTACGATATGTTTAATATTAAAAATTCTGTTACAATTTTGAATATACACACCAGAGGTATTTTTTTATTTATTTAAAAATTTAAGTGCAAAAAATAAATTAATATTTTATTTTGAGATAAAAAGAGTATTAAAAATTTGTTTGATGCTTAGTTTTTTTTGTTTTACTATAAAATTCTCGTAATTGTCTATTAATATGCATATTTTAACCCACCAAAAGTCATAGTTAAAATACAAAATTAAATTTTAAATAAACAAATAATCCAAAATGTCTCCTATTTTTTCAGTCAGGGTATTTTTCAATAAACTGGTAACTCACAGCTCCTACCCGAAACATAAGTAAATAGAGTTAAATATAGTGTCAAAGGAAGGGATTGATAAAAAATTTTAAAAAATAAAATAAAATAAAATAAAATAAAATAATTTACCAAGCACTATCATATCGAAAATTCTTAAATTTATCATAAAAATTTTATATGTGAACATTTTTTGTACCGTTATAAAATTTTATAAAATTTTTGAAATGTTCGAAGTATCTTACCATACTATTATGTATAATTAACAATCTTTTTGGTATATGTAAAATTTTTTAATATAGCGCCATGCCAAAAATAAAAATATATAAAATAAAATTGTATACCGAAATTTATTAAAGTGTAACATTCAGTTGTGTTTATTTGAAAGATTTTTTTATTTTTTTATTTTTTTTTTAAGTTCTCTACTATATTTATGAAAAGTATTTTTGTAAAAAAATATCAAATTAAAAACTTCTTTTTATATTATACTAAAAAATTAATTTTACACTAAAAATATCAAACAATGTCTATTTATATATCACACCATTAATTATTTCAATTAAAAAATGTTACTTTTCAAAATTCAAATCTATAATATCTAAAGAATATATATTTAAAAGTTATTTAAATTAAGTGTATATATGTTATTATTATTTGAGATGAATGTGACGAAATTTTGTGAAGTGGGTAGGAAAAGATTTGCTATAGCTACGTTTGAATTTGGTGTTATAGCTGTACCAAACATATTCCCTCCCCACTCATTAAGTAAATATTAAATGGAGTATTTTTTAATGTAATTATATACTTATAATCAATTAAAATAATATTACTCTCTCCATTCCAATATAATAGTCTTATTTATCATTTTTGTCCTTCACAAAACAATAGTCTCATTTCCATAAATAATCATATCACCATAAAATTATCCCTACCTTTTCATTATTATTACACAATTGTCATTACTTTTTACACTAATATACTCAAAGGGCAAAAAAGTCATTTATCTTTACTTTTTTACCAACTACCAATATAATACTCCCTCCGTCCCAAAAAAAGTGTCTTATTGAGAGTTTGCATGAGAATTAAGGAATAATAGTATTTAATTGAAGATGGATATAAAGTAAAATGTAAATGACTAAAATGCCCTTACTTTTTGAAGAATTTCAAAGAGTATGTTAGAGTAATAATTAGGGGTAGTATGAAAAAGTAAGAATAATTTTGTTATAAAGTGGGGACCACGACTACTAAATAAGGAAACAAAACAATTGTTTTGGGACAGACGAAAATGGAAAAACAAGACAAATCTTTTGGGATGGATGGAGTATCAATATTTCTTAAATCTCGTACCCAACACAACAAGACTATACTTTTGGGACGGAGGGAGTATTATCTATTATAATTTTATCCCATAAGAGTAAATAGCCCTATGTTTACTACTAATATTTATTATTCACAGCGAAAAGATTTTTACAATAAAAATATTATATTTAAAATTTATTATTTTTTAAATTTAAAATATCATATAAATAATATATTATTCATCTAAAAATTTATTTAAAATATTACATCAATAATATTTTTTATTTTTTACTTCTATTACTAATGTATGAAGTGTGTAAAAAAAAATATTGATTTACCGAACGTTAATCTAGTTAATATGTAAAAATCGTGAAGAAAGTTGGTCATGCGAATCTTACTCAACCTTCATAATACATTTACAGAACTTAGAAATTATTCTATTATGTTTAGGTTTCTGTTGTCGTAAAAAAATCGCCACCGACGGCTTAATCGGAAAAGTCTGTCGGAATTGATTTAATCGTAGGGTTCCCTGGCCTCCTCAAGAAATGATCCGGGCTACCTCACGATAACCGAAAAATTAATGAAAAAAGAAGGTAAATTAAACAAGAACGAAGCTGAAATTAAATTGAAATTAATCGAAGAAACTATAAAAATCTGGAAAAATTACAAAAAAATAATGCAGAGAAAAATTATGAAAAAAAGAAGAAGATTCATGATGAACGACGGTCCTCTTTCTGTTCTAATATGCTCTATTTATTTGTTTATTTTGAATCATATTTGGATTAGTCAGATCGGTAGCCCACTCGCTGATCTGGACCTTCTGTTGGGCTGCGAACTTCGAAGATTTGGGCTGCACTTGTGTTGGACCGGTCCAATTAATTTTGAGTGTGTACAGTTTCGAAGAAGAAAAAAGAAAGTGTACTTTGCATAAAAGACATCGATCATTTTTTACGAGAGCGTTTAAGACAATACAAGAAAATCTAGTCGTCAATGCCACATTTTATAACATTAATAATTATGGACCCCTTCAACGATCGAGAAGCCATGACAAGAACACAATAAGGGTGCAATTGTTTGTGGATTTGAATTTTTTAATAATAAAAAATTGAATTTAAATAACTGTTTCATATGATATTTTAAATATATAATAAATTTTTAGTATAATATAAAAAAATAAAAATAATTATTTAATTTAATATTTTTGAAAAAAAAAATTAAATAGTAAGAATCCGTGATAGAACTCACAAAAAAAACACAACCCAATGTGTTCTTTAGCGAACGAGTTTGTAGAGCATCGGCCAAATTGATCGAATGGAATTGAACCATGCTTGTTTCTTTTTAGATTGTATATAATTTTTTACTATACAATATATCATATAAAATATTATTTAAATAAAAATTCGAACTTCTTCTACGCAAAATTTTGAGGAAAAAAAAAAAAAAAAAAAAGATGATTTTTGGCCAATGATAATAGAATTTGATAAAAAGTTTCTTTCAAAATTTGGTTTAGGAACCAAAAAACTCCATAAGAGTGTGATGATTTGTTACAATCTACTATAAGGTTATTTATATGTCTTTTTGTATATTACAATTATTTTGGCTGTCCCCTAAATTGCAAGAATTCCGGCGGTGAAGATCTGGCCGTTGGCGTAAGGTGACGTGGAAACATCGACGGCTCTGGAAGCTTCCGAGCTGCAATTCTCTGTGCGCTCGTCCACCACAATTTGCCTGTACCTGCACTCAGCACTGCAGAAGGCTTTCTCTCCCCTGCAAAATTAAGAATAAAAATCCCCAAATCAGAAACCCTAATTTTGAATTTCAATTCACAAGACGACGTCGTTTAATGAATACGCTACCTGTACATATATATATCTTCGCCGTGAAGTTTCTTCTGGCATAAATGGCAGGAGCTGAGAAAATCAGACGGCGGAGCTCCGGCGGACTCGTTGATCCTTGCCGGAGAGATGTGGAAAACGCTGCTGCTGCTCTGTATCCTGAAAGGACTCCGATCGCCGCCGCGGTACACCGTCGTGAATGACCTGTCCGGCTTATGGCAAGTCACGATTGTGTACTCCTCGTCCTCCAAGCTTTCCATCTCCTCCAACCACGCCTTACTTCTACACGACGACGACTCCTTCACCGGAATCGGACTGGATCTGCTCAATTTCCGACCGAGAACCGCCGGAGTTTCGCTGCGACAGTCGCCGGATCTCTCTAGCGCCGCCACGATGCCCAATCCTACTCCTCCGCGGTCGAAATTCTTCAGCGGCTTGGGAGTTCTCGGAGTGGAGGGGATTTCCACAGCTCCAGATCTATTGCCGGAAATCAGCGATCCGGTGAGCAATCCGATCATCGGCGGCCTCGATTTCCTGCCTAACATCACCGGTAAACTCTGATTCGTGAACAAATCTCGAATTTCCGGCGAATTTTGAAAGATTGATTGCGAAGCTCCTGCCGTGAAGAAGAAGGAGATCTTCCAGACTCCTCTCTCCCAAAGTTATGATTGCTTTGAACTCGGGAAATTATATAATACCAATAATTCATTTAATAATAATAATAATAAGTTGAATTATTGAACAACTTTTTTTATTTAAATAATAACATAAATAAATATAATCATTGAGCTGCTTTATTGGTTTATTATTATATTTATATTGATTGATTAGGTTGTTTTTTAAAAAATTTAAAAATAAAAAATATTATGAAAATTACTCTCTTGCTAAAAAAAATAAAATACTCCCTCCCTCTCGTTCGAAATGTGGCATTTGTTTTTTCACTAGTATTATTATATTAGATTGCAGTAAAAAATAAAAATACTTTTATTAGTATTGTATAATATAAAAGTAATGTTATTTGTGTAATATATTGTAAGTTGAAAGGGTATTTTTTATGGTATATATAAATTAGGAAATGATAACCTTATCGAACGGATAAAAATAGAAAATAGTAACTTTTCAATGGGACGGAACGAGTATCATTTTTTATTTTTGTCGGTCTTAAAAAAAAATATCATTTTCTAATTTAGTAATTTACTATATACTTAATATAATTAATATCTTTACCAACTTTTAATATATTACACAAATGTCATTACTTTTTTATCACACAATTTAATAGGAACATTTTTGTCTTTTCTACTATAAACCAATATAATAGTAATATTCTAAAATCTACGTGAAAAAAACAAATGTTACTCTTTTTGCGAGACAGATGTAGTACTATTTTCGTCATACTTTAAAAGTATCGTTTAATTCTTGCGTGATAATATTTGAATATTAATTATTATATTAAAATGCATTACAAATAAAAAAAAAAAGACAAAATACTTATATTAGTGTCTTATAATACTAATATTTGTGCAAAAATTATACAAATATAAAAATATTTTTAGTATTAAGTAAAATAATATAAAAGGTAAATTAGACTTTTAAATCGGAATATTATTAATATAAAAGTAATATTTTGTATTAATATTAATTTTTTTTTATAAAAATAAAATAATTAATTGGTGTATAAATAGTTTATTAGTTATATTACTAAATTTTTAGTAGTATTGTATTTTTAAATTGATGACATTGTAATAATGATATATTAAACGTATTTTTTAAAGTTATATAGATAAGTTAAAATAATTTAAAATTATTTTTATTTAAAAAATATTACATTAAAAAATATTTATTGATATAATTTTATATAATTATTTATATTTAAAATTTTATTATTAAAAAGAATAACACTAGACAAACATAAATAATTTGTGTTTTCTTATTAAAATAAAATAATTATTAAACAAAATATTTTTATTAAAAATTATAGTACATTATATTAATATACTGTAGTTGCGATTGAGAAGAAACAAATAAATAATAATAAGACATTATTATATAATGTATGCATTTATTTATTAAATAAAATTAGATTCCAAATTAATTTATTAAAGCGACGTCCATTTCCAATGATTGGGACCCTCCAAGTGGTCCGGGCCCTCAGACTCGGTTCTGACTCAGCCGGGGGCACGTGGCGCGTTTTGATAGGGTATATTTATTAGGCTTGGTGTGTAGGGCCCTCTTTGATTTTGATTTTTTTGGACTGTTCAGACAAAGCCCACTTGTGGTGGGGCCCAAGGACTTTGTCACTGAAAGTGATGTCGTGTGAATTTACATATCTATCCCTGTATGTATTTCGTATGCATTCTGGGCCAGATGTAAAACATGGGAGAGATATTTTTTATATAAAAAAAATATAAAAGAAAAATCAGAAAATGATTATGAACAGGCTGTACCACAATATCTAGGACACCTGTTCGATTCCACTATTATTATTATTATTATTATTATTATTATTATTGCTTCTTATTTGTTTATTTGATTTTCTTTTACGAGTTCATTTATTTAAAAAAAAAGTTTTTATAAGATTTTTAATATATATATAACTTTTTTTATAAAATTCAATTTTCCATAAAATATTATTTTTATATTGTTCATACTTATATCACATATTAAAAAATATTTTAAATTAACATACTAAATAAACAAATTCTATACTTTCTTCGACTTATCTAAATTATTCTATTTAATTTAGGTACGAGGTTTTAGTTATTATGTAATTGGTAAGTAATTAAAAAGTGTATTAGTAAAAATAATTATAAATTGAAATTAAAATGACTAAATAATTTAGTTAAAATAAAAAACTATAATGAATTTTAAAATGTGATTAAAATGTATAATTATATTTTTTTTAAATGATAAATTATACGAGACGGACGAATATAGAAAAAATTGACAAATTAAATAGAATAAATAGAGTATTTTTTTTGTCCAATAAAATTATATAGATTTGATTGAAAACAAAAATTAAAAATAATGATATTTAAATATTAAATAAAATAGATAAAAGTAAAATAATGACCTACTAAACAAATTATTAAATGATTGATAAAAAAAAAAAACAATGGGATAAGTAAAACTTATGGACAAATATTATTTGTTAAAGTAGGTTTTGTTGATAGATAAAATTATTTATTATAAAATAATTCTACATAAATTTAACGAATTATATAAAGAAAAGATATAGATATAATTTTAACGGATAAAAAATATACTCCATCGGTCCCACGCCAAAGCGGTCAATTGGGATTTTTATAATAGATTAATAAAATAAAAGTATTTTTTTAATTAGTGGAAGTGTTTAAGAGGTTTTGATATTTTTTTCATTTGAATTTATATATAAAGTAATTGATGTGTAATGATATGTTTGTAATTTAGGTAAAATTTAAAAGTATTTTTATATTACTCTATTTTTCTCACTTAATTTGTCTACTTTTTCCTTATCCGTCCGTCTCATCTATTTTGTCTTTTTTTTTTTTGAAAATATATTTACACTTTAATTATATTTTAAAATTCATAACTTATTAATTTTTTTTATTTTAATTAAACTATTTAATTATGTTAATCTTAATATTTAATTATTTTTATTATATCATAATTAATTTTACTATTACAATTTTTAATTACTTACTAATTACATAATATCTAAAACTCCATGCCCAGCTAATGTGGACAAATTAGTTGGGACAGAGGGAGTAATATATGGTTACTTTTACTAAAATAAAAAAAATGATACTTTGAAATGTGATAGAAGAAAATTGTAAAACTATTATTTTGAGTTGGGCCAAGTAAAAAATAATTCAATTATTATTAAACTCCCTCTATCTATTTACGGTGTTCATCTTTCCATTTATGTCTGTTTCACTTATTCTGTCATTTTTATTTTTTGAAAAATAATTATATACTTCAATCTCATTTAAAAAATTATAATTATATTTTTTAAATTTTAATTAGACTAATTAATTATTATAATCTTAATCTAAAATTATTTTTATTATACGATAATTATTTTCACTAATACATTCTTAATTATTTACTAATTATACTCCTTAAATTCTCGTGTCTATACTAAAGATGATACGGTAGTCGGAACGGAGGGAGTACAATATTTAATAATCGATACTTAAAAACAATTTTCTAAACTATTCCATTCATTTCAATACAATAATATTATTTACTCATCCGTTAATGAAAATTAGCACACTTTGGGTCGATACAGAGATTAAGAAAAATAAATATTTTATTGAAAAAAAAATGATAAAAGTAAATCGTTAATTTGAGATTTTTTAAAAATTTAATTATAAATTAAAGTAAACTCAGAGATATAATATAATAAAGTTAGTGTTATTTATTGTAAATTAAAGTAAACTCAAAAATATAATATAATAAAGTCAGTGTTATTTATTGTAAATTAAAGTAAACTTAGAGATATAATATAATAAAGTTAGTATTATTTATTATAAATAAGTGTAGAATTGAATATAATAATTAAATATTAATTTGTTGACTTTGAAAAAAAATTAGTAATAAGATAAATTTACGAGACATGACTAAAAAGATAAATGAGAATAATTTTGACGGACGAAGAAAATATTATTTTTTATCCGTCTTAAAATAATAATGTCATTTTCGTCATCGTAAAATTATTCTTACATTTTATTATTATTGCACAAATACATAAAAAAAAAATAAAAAAATAAAAAAAAAATTGAAGAGAATGTATATATCTATTGAAATCATAAAACAAAGATAAAAAAAGATATGCAAAAAGAATAAACATATATTACGTTTATTTAACAATTACCACTGCGCTAAGAAAAAACTCGTCTGAAAGTCAACGCAATGAACTTTCTTCTCTAGAACAGACTATCCACGCCATCCCTTTTTTTTCTTTAAAAAAAAAAAAAAAAAACGAAAATCTTTATTGCTAGAGTCGGAGGCTTATTTATTTTGACTTTTGTTTTTAATAAAAAGTTAAAATATAAATATATTTTTTTTTTTTCTAAAAAAAAAACGTTCATAGAAGAATGGAGAAAATTAAATATAATAAAATAATAATAATAATAAATCGACTCCGATAAAAGACAGGTAAACCAATTGTGAAGGCTTTATATATATTGTTGACATATGAAGCTGATTATATTCTAAAACATAGGGATATGATTTAGATATGATTTGGATATAATATCCGAGATTTGAAGATATGGTTTGAATATTATTATCATAGGCATTGGCTATAAATATCCTGCGTAATAAAATTCCTGGCTTGACAGCGCCCCAGACATAGATCATCGTGATCGAACTGGGTTACCAAATCTTGTGTTCTTTTGTCTTTGTTGTCTCATCTTGATTTCCTGGGAATTTCCGTAACAAGTGGTATCAGAGCCTAGTTCGTTGATAGGGTGGATTGAGAGGAATCGGACGTTGGATCGTTGTGGGAATCCCTTGTGACCTGCGGAGGTGTCTTGTGTCGAAAGTCTCATGTCGGTGTTGGGTCGGTCCCGACTGGTAGGTCAGACAGCGAGTCCCTTTGTGATAGGTGGTGTAAGGTTGGTAGGGAAGGATAAGGGTTTCGGCAAACGCAGCGGAATATCCGATGTGCTCTCATATAAAGTGAGCCTTATGTTTGTT